TGCACGTATGTAACTTACGCCTACTTGGATGTGGAACACTGATTTTGCGCAAACCAAAGTCAGGGTAAGGGCTTACAAGTTTGAGAAGTTTTGGAGGAGCGCCACCAAGTCAAGTGTCGAACGCTCGTGCCATGAAACGATAACATGTTAGTCTAACTTGCTCTATAACTTTATGTCTCAGCGCCATTTTCCACTAACTCTAGTTTAAAAACATAGAAATTCCATTAGCAGACGAGCAGTAGTCTGCATTTGAATCCATCTGTCTGCTTGCATACATTTGTAGGTATCCTACCTATCTATAAAACATATCGCAATTTGCCTTTTCACAAATGAAATGCAACTGCATCCTTGGAAATGCTAGAGAGAAGCTTATATCATATTTCGACACAATACCAGTCACCGCGAAATTTCACTGAAAACACTAATATGTGCATGAACTGTGGGACTGTGTTATTGTCATTAATTTAAGCTTCTAGCATTTCTGAGTTTGACTGTGAACGTTTAGCTTCGTTACACCTTGCCAGTAAAAAGGTGAATATTGTAATAAGTTGGTCCGCCATTCGTTTGGCTGTCCGGTGTGTTTCAATATAATGAGGTTACTAAAAACGCGAACATCACTTTTATTATTTTTATGTATTGCGTATCTCCACCTGGCCTTAATGCGTCATGTTATATTTGTACATTGTATTAAAAGAGACGTGTACCATATTGTGCCCGTGCCGTGTGTTAAATACAAAGAAATTCATAAAGCGGGGAGAGCGGAGTCTTAATTAAAATGAATTCCTGCGAGGAGCGAGTAGCGGCGTAACGAGCCATTTGTGGCTATTAGCAGATAACAATTGGAACGAACACGCGAGTGCAAGTAAATGTACTGAGTATCAGGAAGCCATTTATTAACGTTTGAGAAAGAAATTCATTGTTTTAAAGAGGTAGCCGCCGCGATACCATAATGTTTGCCGTAAGTGTAGTTAGATGTATGGATGTCTACAGAAGTTAGTGATGTCAGTATTTCGGTCACGTGCTCGGATATTAAGATGTTCCGCTGTTATTTCCTGTTCCGACGTTCCAGAAATGCGGCAATCTGTCGTTTGGTATCGGCGTGTCTATTTCCGTATGCGGTTCCCGAGTGGCTTAGTGCGGGGGTACCTGGCCGTGATGCCAGCTGCTTGTTTGTGCACAGTTGCAGGCGGGCTCAGTTCACGCGTGTAATGGGTACCTCTAGCGTTGCGCCCAGAAATTAACATTAACGAGGCACGCTAAACAGTGAGCAAACATGTTTAATAATTTGCCTTAAACGGATTTCAATGAGGACGTGCATGTGTAAACTTCTAAGTATGGCATGGAATATTATGAAGGTGAAAGTTTGTTAGTATAGTTGTTCCTGTTATCTTTCCACACAAATACTAAATGGAACACAGAGCATACACCATATTTTCATACTTTAGGCATGCAATGATCAATAAAGTTTATAAAATTGAAAATGTTTTATTTGTTAGTTTCTATGTTATTATAAACCCGTACGGTACCAGGAATTTGTTCAGTTTGTAGAAAAATAGTGAAAGAAAAAACTAGAAATACAACCCTTACCTACATTACAGCCATCAATAAGAATTTTAAATGAAAAAAATGTTAGTGTTGTGCCTTATTAAAGCCTTTATAATTGCTGTTGTGGGAAAAAGTTCATCAAAGAACAAATAATTCAATGAAATTAAATTACATAATTGCTTTCCAATCGATAGTCGACTTTCAGTTAAGTATATAGCTAGAAAAGACGTCCAGGGACCAGCCCTAATTGCGAAATAATACAGTTGGTCCATCACGTGTGCCTACACTCACGTACTCTCCTGGCGGTTTTGTATCTTATCAACACAGCAGCTAGGTCTAAAATCGTACCGCAACTAAGAAGGGCGAGCAACAAATTATTGATAACGTTATGAACAACCCCTTCTATGTGTTGAGTGCAAGCCGCTTACAGAATAACGACATTTTGTTATTACGGACAATTTCCCCTGAAATAACGTATTTAAGCCTTGAGGTTCGTGCTCTGAATTAAAATTTAACTAGCTTATAACATCGACGATAAAGGTACCAACAATCATGTTAATCAAAAGAAAATTGGATCAGAACAATGGAGTAAATGGAAATCGCTGCCATATGACATCATTCCAGAGCGTTATTTAAGCGAATATGTTCCTTCCATTAAAATACGTTTTCATTAAACGAGATCAATCAGTGTGTTGCAGTCAATTTATCGATGATGGTGCTCCACTAGCGATACCACTCATTTACATCGAAATAAAAGTAACTCAAGCGGAAATTACTAAAGCAAAAAGCAAAATGTATATCCGAGTCCGCTCGAAAACTCTCAAATTTAATTAACGATAAAAAGGGCGCCCTGTCATTTGTATGACTGCGTTTTACTATTTCAGTTCAGAGGCGAATTGGAATGCAGTCAAATAATAAAAACAATATGCGACGGACGATTGACCGGAGCAAAATTTTAACGAGTATCAGTTCATATGGATTGTTTATAGGTATACAGTACCACATTGTTGTGTGAAGCTAAATGTTTTAATTTGAAACCATTTTCATTACCCTTTTTGAGAAAATAGTCAGACTGCAATTAATAACTAGCGTCACGTGTGTCATTATAATTCGACCATTGTCCACCACGGGTCCTAAGGCTCACGAATACTATCATCAGGCACAAATACGGTATACACGAAGTTGTCAAACTGTCGAACCATCACGAAATCTGTGCTTATACGTACGTACCTACCAATTCGTTGAAGAACAATAGCCCACACACATTGTAATCTCATTAGCAATTATAATCAAAATAATAGTATTGATAAAAATTACAATAATATAATTGTATATTGAACAATTAATAAAAACCTTATACATAATGTGAGCGGTCGGTGCATGCGAGTGTCGGTGGCAGCCGTGGGGTGGCAGGCGGCAGAGGGAGCAGCGAGGGGTATCGATCGACCCCGGACCACTGCACCACCTGCCACTGCAACTTGGAAAATTCGCTTTTCTCACAACACTGCTCGGACAGTATCGATATCGGCCACGCGCCTCCCTCAAACTCTTTTAGATTACTTCGCAATACTTATAGACGGATACTTAGCCCTCGAAATTGTCTCAATTTTTCATTTAATTATCTCCAGCGATACGATAGGTTTCTCTTGAGATTTCAATAAAAAAATCTTACATTTTTGCAAGACATACGTCGTACGTGATTGGATAAGTTTACGTGTATATTCAAAATAGTTTGCTATAAATATAACGATGAATAATGTTAACCTAAGCCACATTTGCATAATGATTTATACGTGTTCATCCAAGTGTTTGTTTACATCTCAGCAAGCAAAGTGAAATAAACGAGTTAGTGTCATGCGTGGGCGACATACTGCCAACTTGCAGTGAACCGCGCGGTGATTGCGATCTTTTACAAACACGTTTTTGCTTTACGAGTCTGCCTTTTGATTTACTCACAAACAGTATCAGCCTCCCTCCACTCACAGCTACGCGAGCACAGTAAACGTGAACATTCGTATTGAGATAATTTGCGTGCATTTGATGAAAGGAAACGCTTCGCATTCCCGACTATGACACGTAGTTAAATAAAAGTAAAAATTCATAGGGCTAACAAACATCGGTGCCATGCACCACATGGTACATGAAACGCATTTCAATAAGCATGACATATCTATCTCTACCTATACCTATGTTATACTGTATACATTACGTACTGCATTAATCATGCGAAAACTGTACAATTAATTCAGGTACTTAGTGCGAGCTATGTGCTTACATTTGATCGCAATCAAATTAAACGTTAATCCTTGATGGTGGGCGTGTTTGATACTTGATAGTGTTGCGGAATATGATTAAGCAACATCTCCTGTCGGGTCGGTGTGACCTGCACCTGACCTATAGATAGACCAATTAGACTGGACAAAGGAGGGATGCGAATGGTGGTTGCCGCTACGCCTCTACGCCTCTACGTCGGCGTAGGCTTTAGATAATGGATTATAAACACAAAGGGCTCCAGAGACTGAATGCTGGACACTAGGCAAATCGAACTGAAGTGGATTCACACTAGGTAATTAAATGAGGTGTCTCATTAGATTTGTTTTGTATGAAATTTTGCTCAAACTACAAACACATAAGTAACTTGAAATAGCTTTGTAGTCACAAACACAACTTCATTATATGTATGATATCTAAAAGACTATTCTAGTTATAGAATCATCAATTATGTACCAGCAGCATCTCAAGCATGCATAGTTATGAAAGGTTCGGATTTCAGATAGGACGCGCACAAAAGTTTCTCTGCAAATAGTCGCGACGCTGACACTTTGGAGGTTTCAATTTCCATCTAATTTATTAGCCACGTCTTGCCGGGATTATGCAAGGGTATTTTAGGACTTGAAAAATGTTTTTACGAAGAGAAAAATCAATCGTTGCTGTGAACCGTCGCCGTAAACTCTGGCTTCGTCTGCCTGACTACTTTCCTATTTGCTCTTTTTTCCTCTAAGGTTTCTTATTGCCGCAAGATGAAGCCGAAGTCGTTACGTAACATTTTGAGATTGAAATAGCTTCTTTTCATAAAGTGTAGACACATTGAAAGAAGCCTTTGTACATAACAAACGTAATTTTACATGTAATCAAAGGAACATACCTGGAAAAGCCCTGGGTTAAAGGCGACATCATGACGACATAGAATTATTGAAAATAAAATTGTCGGTAATAACTCGGGTAGGTAGCTTCTATTTACTTATTTTTGTAAAACTCGACGGGGGAGTTCACAATGTGATTTTACGTTTATAATTCACGTGGCAACAGCGAGGCGGAGGGAGGTGGTCGCAGGAGAAGGAGCGTGGTGCGAGGAGGTGGCGGCCAAGACCTTCAACTGGCGGTGCTATTGACCTGCAAATGGATTTTGTAACGTCATGTGAACGTAATCCACGTTTTGGCATCAACTCACACCAATGCACAATGATTGCCTATCCATAAGGAGTATCACACCTCGGTACATTCTAGTCGCTCGCCAGCAAGGGTATCTGCGCATATTGTTCAATTGGTTTATCCTGGTCAGCTGGCCATTAAGTGAATTCACATCCTGCGTCACAGAGCAAATCTTGCCAATTGAATGTTATATAACAATCGCTAAAGAGAATCGAGGTCAAATAAGTGGCTTCAATTTATTGCAAACGCGACTCGGTGGGAACCAAGGAGGCGTGCGCCGCGCTGCAACTGCTTGCTCTCTCAGCGGAGGCCGAGTGCGGCGACAAACACAATGTAAGACAGGACAATGGTGCAAATTTGGTGGCATCGTTCCTTCCGGCAATGCGCACAAGGTCTGGGTTGATCGGGTCGATGTCCTGCGCCCCGCGCCGTGGCCGCCACCCCCCGCCCCGCCAGCTGTCTCCGCCCGGTTATATTTAGACCGGATGGCGGAGTTCTCACTGAAACAGATTCTCCCCTCTGTTTGCATAACGCACCAAATCGTGTGACGGACTGACTCTTTTATTGCAAGACAATGATGGCCACCAAGTACGAATCCTCGGGTTGGCTTGATATGTTTGCATATTATTAGTCAAAATTAAACTCGATTGTTGTATCAACATAGTATTCATAGAATATGAATAGAGCTTTCCAAACTACTAAATTGGGAGTTCTCGACCTCAAGTGAGTAGGGTCCGGGATTCACGACTGTCATGACACAATGCAGCACATATGGCCATGGACGTAAAGTTTACTAACTTAGTAAATCAAATGGACGATCGATCCCAAAAAGGGCAATGTACCGTTAGCCGACTAATGCAGTGAGATGCAAACGGCTGTTGCGCTTGCACAGTTAAGCACACAACGACGCATGACATATCGGCGCGATGCTCACTACTAAGACCAAGCATTATAGAAAGTAAATATGTCTCGACTGTAATGACTATGTTAATTTCGGCACTCATGCACGTTAGCCGGCCTAAACGATACTTGAAAAAACAAAACGGTGGGCAAACAGATACACATGACGAAATAGTGTCATGTTGAACATGGAGGAAGATTCACTGAGAGGCAAGCGGCACTTCTGGCATGGCTTAACTAAGTATATTTTATTTCATGGCAGTGAATGTTGTTTAGTCTAGTACGGGTAATTATTGTCAAGGAGAATTTATGTATTCATTGCTTTATTATAAGGTCTGTTGTCATCATAGACGTATTATGTTTATTACGCTGTCAAGATGCCGCTGGACATAATTACGGTACAATCCACATATCCACATGATTTGCGCTACATGATACGCGGTACGTAATATACGATTTCTAAAAAGTGATACAATTATATCAGTTTAAAAATTATAATTATAGGGGCGCTTCTTAAAATATAATATTTTCGTTATTTTAGCAGGATAGTGAAATTACACGGCGTCAATTTCTACTAAAAAGTGATGAGTTAAGTGACAGCATTTTCAAATCAATCATTATTTCTTTTGTAGCATTTAAAAAAAAACATAAATGAACCATACACTTCGTATCAAGTGTGTATGTGGCATTTATTTGTAAAAGCAAAATGTTAGAGCAGGAATAGGTACGGACGAAGTTATTTTCCATTTTGTGATTCATTCGCGTCATTCGCACTATGTTCGATAGAGTGAAGCGAAAAATAAAGGGCGTTGAATAAACTCTACGAGCAAAACGAAAGTGTTGGCGCACAAACAGATTGTAAACGTAAACGAAAAATATTTATGTATTTCGACCGGTCTGCGTAAAATTCGACTAAAGTTAAATAAGGTTATCACACTTCAGAGTTTATTCTTTCAGGCTTAATGTCCCCAACGAATCGTATGTCTCTATATACTTACCCAAGGTTTCTTATACATTTCGGATTCAGACTGCACATACAAGCTCGTGTCCTAATTAGACTTACAAATACCTTTAATGTGTGATTAACTGGACTTTCTCGTGCTTATTTCTGAATCCTAATTGGCTACTGCTGTTATTCGAGAACACGTGGACGCTAAGATCATGCAAGTGCTGCCATCTGTATTTCTTGCATTTTAATTTAGGTAGGTACTGTTGCCGTAATTATACTTAATCCTGCCAACTACATCAACTTTAAGAAGGTTTTGGGCTACCTATAAGAATTATATTAAAAACATGAGTTAAAACAAAGATAATTATCAGTATCACTACAAACGTAGCTATTAATTTAAGTAGAAAGTTGCTTGTTAAAAGTTACTTATATGAGGTGTCAAAGAAATATCCCTATCTTCTTAATTGTATATGAAATAAAATTTATTTCATTAGTTTTGCTATTAGGTACTAATTAATCGTGAAAACCTGTAATTATCATTTTGTCACTTACCACCTTTTCATCATAATCGTAGGGTTTCGCTTGTGTTAAAGGAATAAAAAATAAAAATACCAATAGTAAGTACTCACCCGCTTTTGTTGATCTATCGCAGTTGCATTTTCAAATTAAGCTGTCTGTAACAAAAATACATTTCGTTAATACTTTAAAAGCCCGTGGCTAACATGCGGATTGGATTAGGAAAACCTTTCACGACTAGTCTAAAAACTATTAACAGCTAGCCCGCAGTATACCGCAGACTGAAAACATCGGAAGCTTTGTGCTTTCAGCGAGTAAAAAGTTATTAAATGGTTTTCCAAAGGACTACAAAGCTTCAATTGTAATGGTGGTTACGCCGACGCAGAAAAAAACAACGTGGGAACAGAAAGCGAGGCCGCTGGCTAAGCTTAGTCTAAAATGAATAAAAACTCGGTTTGTGCTGCGCGTCATGGCAAAACATGCGGAGAACACCATAAGGGGAAGTCGAACAAACATCCACAACCTCAGACCAGTTTTCGATCTAGTGCAAGAAACATCAAGGTTGACTGCACTCCAATTTTTAACTGCATACTTGAATACGTCATAGTCGTTAAAATGGTTTATATTTCCACTGAATTGATTAATATTATTTTCTTTAATAACAGTGTGAATAAATCGTTATTACATTCATGTCAAGTTTGAATCAAGTTTTATGCGCAAACGCTGCCGCCTTGATTAGATGTCACAGGTTCCTTCAGTCGCCGCAAACTATTTTAATGAAGTAAGTTATAAATATCGGTAAAAACTGTTCTTCATAACCCATTCCACGGAAAATAATCCAAATATCATCTATATATCTAAATAGAACTTGATAGACATTTGATTAAGACCACAAATTGCGTTATCGCACTTGATTCAAGTATGTTATAGAAAAATAAATTGTGGTTGTTATTTACGTGTATTTTGATGCACGATATACTTAAACGAAACAGAAAATTACTACGTTAAGGACCTGCTGGATAAGAACAAAAGAAAGGTGTCTTTTTTCAACAAAAACATAGTAGGTCTGTTCTATTCTGTGAAACTAGTATGCTGTTGACAAGAAACAAAGCGTGTTATGATTAGTTTTGCTGTCAAAATGCAGATGGATTTTCCGTACGTCCCGAACCGGTAGCGGGATATAAGGGAAGTCGGCGTTTACCTGTCTTTGACAGCCTGTCTGTGTTTCAACCGTTGATTGTTCTCTGGCTCTTCAGCCTATGCAGCACGGAAGGCAACGAATGAGTGAAAAAAGCAGTAAACAGAGGGTTAAGAATGTAATTTCTGATTCAATTTTGTTTGGTTTGTACTAATATTGATAGATCTGTACTTACATTTCGATATTAAGATTCATATTGTTAACATATAGACAAAAATGGGGATATCATAAAGAGTAGAGCATTGAAACGCTGACTAAAAGGAGGATAGCTTGAGCAATATTATCGCTTTGAATAAATCCATTCTCCTCGCGCATTAACAAAAACAAGACTCTCGTAAAACTTAAAAAAAAAAACTAACAAAATGTTCAAATGCTATCGTCCGAGCCAGGATAAGTTGGTACTTGTGATAATAAAATTGCGACAGAATAATAAATGTTATTGTGTGGTTATTATTCTGAAGGTCGAAAAACAGTGCAGGATCCGTTTACTAAACTATCATTTGATATGGATATCCGCTTCAGTACAATAAAAGATAAAGTATACGTCTGCTTAGGATTACAGTTTTTATTCTTCATAATCAGGACTTGTCTATTAGAGCTGCCTAGCCGGTTACAATAGATTCGAGGTCATTTCGCTCAACGGAAATGCCAGGCCTACACAACCTGTGCCCGCGTATATGTAAATTTGTGCATAAATTCACTACCTACTGAACACTGCCAAATTGTTTTGCCACAGTATACGCACGGATCAGAGAGGACAAAGATTTAAGGGACATTTCAAACATCATTCAATAAAATTAAACATGCTGTGTAAAAAACTCTGTATAACTGTAAAAACTCTTAATTTATTTAATTGAGAAATGTTATTGTATTTTTCTATAATATATATTCCAATTATATTTAAGTAACAATACTAAAAGTGATTACAAATTTGCTAACGTTTTATTGATAGATACAGGCATAGCTAAAGAGATTCGTTCCTCGTTGAATCGGAGGTGCGATTCGGTCATATAAATTATTGAAATGTTAAAAATACTAGTTTTAAACAATATTATATTAGGTATAAAGATACGCTGTTATAAAATTGTTGTGTGTGTGCTAACTATAATAAAACGTCGGCCACGTTTACAGAAAGCAGTAAAAAGAAATGCTGTGGGTTTCCAAATATGAGTGAGTGCGCCCACTGTATTAACAAATTGTGTTACGTTAACGATATTCGTGAGCGTGGGTCGTTAGTGAGAGATGTCAGACAATAGAGCTGGTGTGTCATGGACGCTGAGGACACTTCCACAGGCCCCACGAGCCACGCCAACGAACTACTTACCTACGTATAAATACTATACCAATGACCTACTTAAACGTTCAGTCTAAAAAGTTCAAAAACGTGAGTATTTTATCAATACCTCTTAAATATTTATTTCTTAGTTTTAAATATTCAACTCGACGATTTGATTCCCGGTCTGGGAACATTAAAATATACGTTTTTTTTGTAGTTTCGACGTAATACTGTGTTCGAGGAATAAAAGTTTACCTGACCAACGCATACGTGTGGATATGTACGTGATTGATGTTTACCTACCTAGTATATCTCTAGTTAATCGGAATGGAAGCCAGTCGATTGAAAGTAGATACTATTACGCGAATTAGTAAATGGCTGGACCCTATCTGATGGTAAATTTATCGCAGTCGAATAGTCGCGAAACTTCATCATCGATATTGGCGATCGCGACGTGGATTACACATCGTTGAGTTTAATCCAATATGGATTACCCAGGATGCCTTTCATGTGTGAACTGTAACCACCAACTTTGTGTATTGACGAAATATCTGTTCTAGGAATTACGACATTAGTGATATGAATCCCACGTGATTTGTTTGAATTTCTGTACACTTTATTGTACAGAATTTTACTGAGAATTATTATTTTATTTAACAAGAAGGTATCTTGCTTTTTTTTATCTTACATAATCAATTTGAGTTGGAAA